CTCTTATCATCTAAATTAATACATATTTCATTAGTGCGATTGCGGTTCCCATAAATCACACCAGATTTCTAACGTTTCCCGGAATTGACGATAATTTTCACCCAATTCTCAATTATATTCATTCAGAAGTAGAGTTTATTTAAGTTCTGTTTCTCTTTTAACCCTTTCTTCAACAGGAAGTCGATCTAAGCGTCGATGCATTTCCTTTGAATCCATTATTTGCTCCTTTTTTAAACATATTTTATTCACAAATTGATTCAACGCTCGCAATAATGGGAGGAATTTATCCAAATTCAAAATCAAATCCATTTTTTGGAATTTTTCGTATTTTTGATTCAAATGTAAATTTTGTATTGATATTTTTCCATAGAAACAAAAATATAATATCTTGTGGAATTTTTCAGATAATTTATTACACATTATATTTTTTAAAACATAATTAATTAATTTTTGTTCAGATTTGGCTTTTAATTTTATTGACAATATTTATGACAACTTTTGCTCTCTTTTTGTCGTCACAAAAACTGCAAGTATTTTTAAACGTAAATATAAATAATAAAATTGTATTTATTTTAGACAAAAAGTGATCAAAATATCAAAAATTTTAGGACAATTTTGGACTGTTTTTAACGCAATGTTTACTCAAAGTTGTATTTATTTAAAAACTTACCATATATTTAATTAATTTTTCAAATAGCGTTCAAATTCACGCATTTATCGATCAATTCTTACCGTTTGGTGATTTGTGTTCTCCTATTCTTTAAAGTTTTTACTTTAATTCTGTTTTCGTCACAAATTCTTTGCATAACAATTGAAACCCCATTTTCTGTTATCGATTCCATCGAAGAATTGAATCAAAGACCAGATCTATCACCCATTGTATTCGTTCCCGAAGCAGATATCGACGATCTTAAGGTTCATTCCTTATTCACATACTGTTAATGTCTATTAATATGCATTAAAGTGTTTGTTTGTATTCAGAGTTAAGACCAGATCTATCACCCATTGTATTCGTTCCCGAAGCAGATATCGACGATCTTAAGGTTCATTCCTTATTCACATACTGTTAATGTCTATTAATATGCATTAAAGTGTTTGTTTGTATTCAGAGTGACAGCCAATTGGCGTTTTCAATGAAGAATGTAAAGGAAGAGAATTATTTGGAATACGATTACCAGAAATTGTTTGAAGGCATTAATCCTTTGATTAAAAATATCTCGGTTTTGAAAACACACGTATTGTTGGCCCCAAAGAATTCAATTGAGTTGACGATCGCTTTAAACAAAGAGAGATACGAGAAAATCACTCATTTATCCAAAACTCGATACAAACCAAGAATTTCTGGTTTTTTAATGAATAAAAAAGTCGATAAATTCATTGCAAATACGTTTGAAAAGCTGTGAGTTTTGTTCACTATTTGATTGATTAATTGATAAACAGTTGGTTTCAGTCTCTATGACACCAAAGAAACGGGTCTTTCGGACAAATGGTCGCAATCGGGTCTTCAACAAGCGTTCAACACATACGGCGATAAATCGTTTGAATACGAACTCAAAGGAAAACAATTGTTCATGATTTTGGACGAAATGCGAATTGCCCTTGGTCCTTTTCTCACAGGTATTTGTCTCGCATTTTGTGTTTTATTCTTTGAAAATACAAATATTTCAAAAAATAAACGCAAAGAAGAGACAAAATTCGAGAAAATGAATGTAAAAAGAAAAATGAATTCCGAAATCAATAATTCATTAATTTATTTGAAATATCCTTACATTTGATGAATAAAAATACAATTTTCAACGCAAACATTGTTTTCACAACTCATTCAAAGTTTGTCTAATTTTGTGCCAATTTTTCATTTTCATCAAACATTTTAACGCATATTTCGAGACAAAAGTCTTGACCTTTGGGTCAAAAGGGAAACAAAAGTGTTTAAACGGCAAACTATAAGAACCCAAGTCTTTGAAGAGAAGCCATTCTTTGGCATTCATTTCAATCATTTGAAAGTCTCTTCGAATGCAATCCTTTTTGACACAAGAGTCGCCCCAAAGAGTTGTTGTGAACACATCTCTGGAAGCGT